TCATCATCATCATCATCATCATCATCATCATTTTCATCATCATCATCATCATCATCATCATCATCATGATCAGCGGCATCATCCTCCATACCTTTCCCACCACAGCACATAACGAAAGGGGTGCGGCGTTCTACAACAGCCCGGCACTGTACGCACTTCTTCATGAGGCTGGCACAGTCTGGGGAAAAACAAAAAGAAAGACAAGTTAAAAGTCCATTCTTTACGAGGATAGTTTTTAGTTCAGAAGCTGCTAAAAAAAACATAGGAGGTGAACTTACTCTCACAAGCGCACATGTGACCGCAGGGCTGGAACAAAACGGCTGCTTTTTTGTCAGAGCAGACTACGCACTCTTCAATCTGTGGAGGGACAAATTCACCAAAAAAGCGGTAAAGGTTGTCTGCTCTAGTCGGTGAATCATTTCCCTGGACTGGTGCTAGTCTTTCTGATACCTTAGTTCTTGACTGGACCTGATCCTTGCAGATAAGACACTTTTTAACCCGAGGTGAGCAAAGGGAGCAGGTGGCGATGTGTCCACAGGGCCCGAAGATAGTGTCTCTCTTAAGGTCTGAACACACCATACACTCGTCCAGCGTCTCGTTGTTGCTGTTCTGAGACGGGCTGCGGGTGCCCACCTGGCCACTGGAACATCGAGAAGGAAAACAGTGTGTGAGAGAAAATTATAATATAGGTTAGGGCTGCTCAATTAAATCATATTTTAAATCGCAATTACGATTTTGGCTTGCAATGATTATGAAAAAGACATAATGGAAATTTAAATAAAAAAAAGATTTTATAGGTTTTTCAGTTGAATTATTCTTAAAGTTCTGGGAAACGAACTGTTAAAAACATACTGTTCACAATTTATTTTTTTTTTTTCAATAAATGGATGTTTTCAAAGTAAATGGATAATCGTTTTTTAATAATCGTGATAACAATTATTGACCCAAATAATCGAGATTGTGATTTTTGCCATAATCGAGCAGCCCTAATATATAGGTGCAGACAGATAGACACTGAGAAGAGAACACAGGGGGAACATGGCAGCGCATAGGAAACATGGCCCTACTGTACATGTAACATGTTTTGCAAAGAAAGAAAATCAATAGGGTGGATTTCTTCCTATTTCTCAGTCAGGTGTTATTGGTACTGTTGGCGCATGAATATAATTCAAAACACCAAACAAATTTGTATAAAATTATCTATTTTTAGGTTTTCACATTGATTAAAGTCATGTTAGTTTGATGAAGAGTAATCAGTTTTTTTGGCCTATTCGGAAAAATACTTCTCTAGGTCTCTAAATCTAACTCCTCATGTAAAAGCCTTATTCAATAATGAACACCCTCTTTAGACATGCTGATAGGTGGGTTACTTATTAAGCTACAGACAAGGCCTTGTCTTACATTTTTTGCATTTTGCTGAGAGCAACATACAACAATAGAAAACGTTTTTCCCCCTCCAGTTTCCAGTCTTTACACTAAGCTAACCCCGCTGTCTCCTGGCTCCAGCTTCATATTTAACAGACAGACATTAGAGTGCTATCGATCTTCCCGTATAACTCCCGGCGAGAAAGCAAATGTGTATTTCCTAAAATGTCAAAGTATTGCTTTAAGGGATGTTTACCTGCTCTTCTCTTTGTGACATTTGGCCAGAGCTTTGCAGAGGCTGGGGTCTGGACACAGGTCCAGAGGGGACTGGCCCTTCTTGTTACGAATGGTCAGGTCCGCTCCGTTAGCTGCCAGGAAGCAGGCGATGGATGCTGCGCTCTTCTTCTCCGCCCCCTGGGTGCCGAGGCCCATGATTAACTGCAGAAAGACAGACACACACAAACAGATACATCAGAGGAACTTCGGGCACTTTTGACGTGAAATATTGTTTCTTAAGTTGAATGTGTTGAGTACACAGTTTTGTCTTTACCTCCCACTGTAGCCTTTAAAACTATTACAGAGCAAGAGGAGATATGATTGTTCAGATGGAACCATGGTGAAATTCAGATGGACCATGCCGAAGTACTAACAGATCACCACTAATTAGCCAATCAAAGATATGCCTTAAGATGGCTCTCAGGCAGAGTTACCCCCTCACCCTCATCCAAAATCCCATTAACTGTCTCGCCTCTCCCTCCCACTTCCAGCTCCTCATCTCAACTTCAAACCCATCTCTCTCTCTCTTTCTCTCTCTCTCGAGCTATTTGAGCCCTCCATGTTTGATTGTCTTCAACCGGTGGCTTTTACATCCCTGCTGATGGAGCCATCGGGCCGGCTAATTCAATTCTCATCCTGAAGGAGAGGGAGAGAGCTATGGGAGGGTGACCCAACCGCACATATCTCAATTAGGCCCGCTGTCGGTCTGTTCCGCTCCTCTGCGGGGAACCAGGGAGAGCAGGAAGGCGGACAGGAGAGAGGAGGCGGAGGAGACGAGGAAGAAGTGGGAGGCAGACAGAAGGTGACAGGTAAAGGAAGTGTGTAGCGAGACCCTGCAGCCTGAAACTCATCCCTGTAGGGATTAGTGATGTGGTGTTAACATGAAGACAGTTCAGGTCTGACGCGGCCCTGTTGGCCCTACAGGGAGACAAACCCATTCAGGCCGGCCGAGAGGCTGCAGCGAGCTGGTTGGCTGCTTCACGCTGCTGTCTGAATGGTGAACTAAAGAACAGTGGGGTCCTGTTTAAGAGTGATGTGTCATACGCTTTCAAACATCAGGCAGTGGTACACTTACTGATCCTCATACAGGTCCTGCAAGATGCTGCCAAGATTACCCTAAGTGCAATCACCTCAAATCATGAAAACTAAGACTTATCGCAGGTTGGATTATTCTGGAATGTGGAAAGGAGAAATAAACTGTCCCTAGGTGTGAATACGTTTCATAGTGTATTCTGGTCAGACCCTCAATAAGAAAAAACAGGAATAGTAATAGAATTAGTTTCTCAGCATTTAAGGACAGTAAATCAATGGCAGATAGACTAAAGTTCTTCCAACATGCTGCATTAGTGTGCATGCCTTGCTTAGGCAAATGCATTTGGGAATGTTAACTGAATCACGTAAAGCTATTGGATAACGAGGCGCTTCAATCCATGACCTCCAGTGTTTTCAGTTTGTTCCTTCCTCTCAGCACACAAGGCTACGCTGTGATGCCGTATGACACCTAAAGGAACCTTGACTTGAGTAAATGACTGTGATCATGGAGGAACAGTGAGGGAAATAATAAACGTATACGCACTGTGTTCTTGGAAGGTTCCCAGGGCTCCACTTTGCTGACATCCTGCATATCTTGGAGTTGCCGCAGTTGGGACAGTGTGTGGTGACGCAGTGCCTCGTGAAGTGGTGTGTCCCCGTCCTTGTCCTGCACATCAAGCTTGGCCTCTGCACGCACCAGCAGCTGGGAAGAAAAACACATCAATAAATACAAACTCGCAGTCAAACAGGAAGCGTAGCAATAACTGTAAAACAACTTTAATTTTATGCTACAATGCAAATGCCACAGTAATGATTTATTAGGCTGCCGATAGCCTAGAACTACCGGAGTGTTTCGCGGCCCCAATTATGGAGTGCATTTTTTCTTGAGTCCACAAGATGGCAACGTGGCAATCTCAATCCAATACTACGCCAAATGACTCTAACCAAGACACTGCCTCGGAGAGCGTTTTCCTTACACAGCATCAATCTGAAGCAGGAGCTCATTCCACTGCAGGACATCCAGCAGTGTAAATTAAATATGAACTGCACTGATGTTGTTCTACTCCCCTTTGTGTGTAGTCCATTACTGGAGGCAGAATCTTCAGTTGGAAGTCAAAGTGAGAGGAGAAAAGGAGGGGGGGAAAAAAAGGCCTCACTAACCCGGACTATCTGGGTGTGTTGACGCTCCACTGCCAGGTGTAACGCCGTCTGCTGGTTGACGTTCTGGATGTCTAAGCTGGCACTTCCCTTGGAGGTGTGAAGAGGAGAGAAGGGAAACAGACATATGTGCATACGTTAACAACCCACAGAATGAATCACACAAATGTACGTGCTCATAAATACACAGGCAAGTGATCAATGCAGACAAACAAGAGAAGATATTTCAGTTCAAAAGTGATTGTAACATACTCTGACAATATGTAGCATGAGAGAGTCTTCCTCTCTTTAACCCTGCCTACCGACAAAGTCTCACCTACCGCCTAGGAATACAAAACGTGTTCTACAACAACGCTGCACTTGATTGTCATTTCCAATTGCGAACACCTCAGCTGAGGAGATGTGGAGGGGAGATAGACATTGTGATCAGGCAGCGTGTGAAATCCCCAAGTAATAAGACTTGCTGGCTGGCTGGCAGGGAATCTGCAGTGCACCTTGTAGTGCGGTGGAATTTCTGAATAGAAAGCTGAGCCATCACTGCATTCGAGACCATTGCAGGGACCTGGGAAGAAAAGGCCGCCCCTGCTGAAGGGAAGCTTGAACGGCGAGCGTTCATGCGTTGGAATGTTGCAGCAACATTGCTGCCTTGCACCATATCCTAATTAACCCAGTTCTCGCTTGGACAGGTGACTTTGCCGTACACTCATGTCTCTACAGAGAGTTAAACCTGCATTCTCAGAAGGGAAAAGACCATGAACCTATGATTGCAGGAGGAGGAGGAGGAGGAGGACATGATGGCCCAACAGCTCTAAAGAATACCCCTCGAGGCTCTGTGAACCGTATGGATTCAATAAAAAAGAAATGGCACTTATAGCAGTTTAAATTGGTCTACAGCTTGCTGGCTGCAGGGAGTGCAGTGGAAGCGGCTCTTAATGTTCTGTAGTCAGGGAAAGCCAGGAGAGTGCGGGCTGAGCTAATGCAGGATATGCTTTGGGCTGATAAACGTAAAGAAAAATAGTCTCTTATAGGGTGAATAACTGCATCTGTTGTCAGTGTTCAGCATGCATTCAAAAGCTTTAATACATCTGTGTCTGTGCCGTTACCTGGTGCACCAACAGCTCAGCCACCTCCACGTGGTTGTTGAGGGCAGCCAGGTGCAGTGCAGTGTAACCGTCGTCCTTCTTCTCGTCTACGATCCAAGGCCTCGGCAGTTTAGATAGCAGCACGCGCATGGCACTGTAGAGGAGACACGGAGACAGGGGAATGAAGTGAGTGTTTGAATTGGCTGAGCTGAGAGAGGCATGACAGAATAAGCTGCAGAAAGGTACAGGAAGTGCAGTCAATTTGGTCGTTTGTGATGCAAAGTGTCAAAATGAATCTGTGACTGAATGTCTCATGCAATGTAAGATAGCTGTGGAACCAAACACAAACTGCTGTACGCAAACACATCGCAGTGTCGGTACTGCTGATACGCAGCATACTCCAACACACTTTCTTTTACAGCAGAGCATATCCCATTTTCACACATGGGGACAAGAATACTAAATCAACTTAGGGAGGAGCTGCTTTCCCAAGCAGAGTGTTATTTACATCAAGCTTTGAGCGGTACAAGAGCAACGTGTTCTTTTAGAGAAGCCGTCCCTCGTACCATCTCCTCAGTTAAGAACAGAAGTCTCGTGTGCCTCGCCGATGCACAGACGAGCCTATCATAGGGAGGCAGAATGGTAATTACATGAGATTTAGCTGCATTCACTCAGGTATCCTCCCGGGGAAGAACCAGGCAGGGTGGGAAGGGTGAAAGAAAGAAATCCATTGCTTTAACAGTGCTGTTGAACAGAAGTAGCCTGGTGTGGAGAAAAGAGCCAGGCAGTTCTGTGCCACTGAAGGTCATTTAGAGGATGTGTGCCACAGAGAGAAGTGGCTGCTAAGACAAATACACATATGTTTTACTATTAAAAACATTTGAATGTATCCGAGAAAACCACAAAACAATGAATAAGCAGGGGAGAAATAAAGACAAACTCCACGAGATTGGTTTTATGTAAGACTGTTGCAATTAGATATAAATAGATGTGAGGTAACACCCTTTTTCCTACGAGCTTCCATTCAGCGTTTCAACTAAACTAATTATTTTACCCCCCTCTCTTCCTACTCTTTTTTGCTTTAGCCCCTGGGCACACATCCAGGCATATGGCACATGAGAATACTGAAATGAGATGCATCTGTAATTTAGCGTATGACCGGTGCATCAGTCGGGGATATGTGATGAGAAGCAAAGCCTGCAAAACACGAACTCTTCAATTTGTGCAGATGCTATGGAATATAAAACAAGACCGTTAAACGCCTTTCCCCTGAACCCTCTTCTGAAGTTAGGTACACAATGTGCCTTCAATAAGCATTTAAGCAGCACCGCTGGAGGGAACACTCCTGACCTTGAGTAACCCTGAATAATCATGCAGGGCATATCTTTGAACTGCGACAAAAGGAGGAGGCAGCGAATTCTACTCTAACTTTGATATGGCTGAACAGCCCCCGTGCGGGCACTGGAGTGTTAACATACACTAGAGTGAGGTAAGTATGGTCTGAGACAGTACGGGGAGGAAATGGGCTCCAGCACAGAGCACGAAGGCCACAGCCAGCAGAATCTCAGAGAGGCGACTCACCTTCCAGACGTCGCCTGATAAAGCATAGAGGGGGAGATGTTCGATGTAATTCTCGGTTTACGTCAAAGAAGGTAAGGGAGCAGTGACAAGTGTAGGAATGGCTTCTCTAAGTTTGTTTTTTGTTGTTCCTAATAAAGAACCAAGACGAATCTAAGGGAGAAAACAAGACGGAACTGTCGTTACGAAATTGACGTTACGTCGGATCATGGGGGAATTGGTCATAACCCGTGAATTATAATTAACAGGCGGGTAAAGCGGGTCGCACCGTCCCTCGACCAGTTAGTTCTGAAAATAACTTCCCCGAGGAGTATGTCGTTTGTGGACGGGTCGTGAGTTCACGGACGAGCCTGTGGTCTTCCGCGGTGACTCGCGGACCGCACAACGCGGTACGTAAATAACCGGTCAACAAGTTGTATATCCTACTATGAAGCGGTCGGTTAGGCCTAAAACCTGTTAGACATATGTAACGTGGTTAACCCCGTTCCTTTATCCTTTGTCTTTCTTGTTTCCGAAGCCTGTTAACGGGAACAACATTACCTATGACAACAATCATTTCCTTTCTTTTGACGTAAGAACATAACAGATAGTTTTTCGACCTTCTCAAGACACAAATTGGTGACCCCTATTCAAATTACAATATCCGGAAGTCCGCTCCTCAGACTGACACCGTTCCCGAGAAAACAACTTTTATTAAACGAACAACTACAAATTCAGAGTCTGAGGATTGGGCGGTAGGGACCACCCCTCTCGGTGACTCCTTTAAACTGAGTGTGTCTCAGGGGGGACTCTACATTTTACATGTCATGCTTGCGTTTATCGAAAAAAGGGCATTGTTTCCCGGCTGGTGTAATACCTTACACTCTAATCCGTCTTTCCCACGCCAACGATTAGTGTAAATTCGTCACGAGGAGACGTCAATCTTACCAACTTCTACGACGCTCGTTACGTCCACACACGCAGCACGTACACACGCATTCCGGAGACACGTGCTCTCTCATCTGCGCTTGGTGGCCTGCGCTCCCTCGGACCCTAGTCACACGACGCGCACAGTAGTGACGTCGCTCATGTGGTACGACCAGAGACAGGCACGTGCTCCACGACCCTGACCGGACAGGGGGGGGGACGGAAGAGGCCGGGAAAAAGACCGGAAGGAGTTCTCTCAACCACACGACTTACTACGAGGAAAGTAATGGGGGTGCCTCCTCCTCTGTTCGACGTTATCCAAATCGTTTTGGGGCCGTCCCTTGGTTCGGTAGGACTAATGGAAGCGAGACTTACGGTCTGGTCGATACAACCAAACGTAGAGAAAGAAAGAGGCAGAATTATCAAGTG